CCAACCTCTGTTGAGTAGCTAACAACTCCAACAGATCTTTCTTCGTGGTTAAAAAATTCCCATCCAGATGGGATCCTTGCTGCTAAAGCACTTGCAACATACCAGGCAGCCACAGCAGAAACTGATGATGAAAGAAACAACTTAAATCTCTGATTTTCCACATTATTTTTAGAAGAACACTTTTCATTATAAAAGAAGGGTCTTCAGAAGACATAATTCTCTTAATGCACTAAGAATTAGGTCACTTGAATTGGAAATTTGCAGGAGGCATATTCAGAAAGCTAACCACATCCACACTGCACGATTATGTCACAGAACTCTGCTAAAGAATCTTACAGATGATAAAACTCATACAAGTTGTAAAAGTATCAGCACAAATTCATGGCAGCAAAAAGAAACCTCAAGGCTATCATTATCCAGAAGACTATCACCACAGGTTCAGGAATTCCATGAAACAAAAATTGTTACACGTTGGAAACATACCCTTAAAAACCCACATCATATATTATCAAAATTCTCAATACTTTCTTGATATCTGGAGACAGAATTCTAGATTAGATGAAATTTTGTTTGAAATGGTACCACTGTTTCTGGGTTTACATACCCCCAAAAATATTGCTTAATTTGCATTCAGGTACTTTTCCTTTTTAACATAGCATTTGCATGTTAGGCAGTTTCCTCTGAGCTCTGTGCTTGCCAGTAAAATACGGGGAAAGTTGGCTAAATCAGGGGTTACTCCCAGCCAGTGACATCTGCAGCCATAGCCTCAAGATACTTCAACTTGGCAGTAATGGAATATGTGGAATGGCTTGAAATGAGCAAGAAAGGTTTCCTTCGTGAGCCTAACTGGAAAGATCCCAAAGGAGATGGAGGATATAATTTGCCCTAGGAAGGACTAGGAAGAAGCTTCCTTACTGGACAATTATGTGCATGTTAAGTAAGGATATGATATCAAGAAGAAAAATCTCTAGCCATCTTGTGACTAATTAACAGCCTTCTGGTAGAAAACCAGAGTAGCTGCTTCCTCCAAGGACAGAGGCTGGACTAAAAACAGGAAACAGGAAGGAGAATTAGGGGACAGACTAGAATAGCTGCCAGGGAATGAACAGGAACAAAAATATAAGTGGACAGGTGCATGTAAATAGTCCTGCTGAGCAGAAGGCTTCTGTAATTGTGAGAGAAATGTTAAAGGTTAAAAGACTTAAACAATTGGATGTTGCAAAAGCAGCAGGTGCTTTGCTAATGCCAGGTTTGTACCCCCCAGCCAAATGAGAGGAGAGTTTTTTTGTGTTGTGGCAACCTCAGATCTGCATAAGAACAGCTCAGTTGCAGAAGAGGGTGCTGCTCTGACCACCAGAAGTTGATCACAACAAACCTTAACCTTTGTTTAGCAACAAGCTGGGATTTGAGCCAGGTAAGTGAAAAGGTTGATAAGCAGCACATCTTACAAGGTGGGAAAATGCTTTTTATCATGCCAATGTCCTCTTTCCCCAAGGGCTCAGGCATAAAATTTCCCTCCTCCCACCTCTTCGGAGGCATTGGGACACTTGCGCTAAAGTCTGAAGATGTTAATCCCTTCTGATAAGGCACAACTATGCAGGTGTGAGAAACAGCCATCATGTCTTAGAAGGGATCATCAACCACCAAAGACCCCTCCCAACTCATATCTGGAGCTTTCCACCAGAGAAATGAGCATGATCCATAGCATCAGACAGTGTAAAACTCCCCCAGCAAGGCAGGTACCTGGGTGTTCCTACCTGAACCTGAATGTATTGAACTTCTGAACCCATTGAACTTTTTGTTTTACAGGCTCCCCCCACTCCTAATGGGTCAAGATAGTGACCATCACTTTGAGCTACAGACATCTAAATTCCATCAATCAAGTACTGTTTGTGGACCTAGGAGTTCCTCACACACTGTACTCTTGTCCTTTCTTTCTACTTTTCTCTTTTCCTTATTTTTATACTTAGGTATTTTTATAGTACTACAGACAATAACCAAAATGGCTACATAGCTCCTTTCCACTGCAACCAAATTGTCCCAAAATATATACATACAGATATATAAATAGATATCTGCACACTCTAATGCAGCCCAATGGATCTATTAACAAAAACCTCAGTTATCCTGCCTCAGAGGTGGATCCTAACAAATATTTAAGCAAAACAGAGGAAAATTAAAAGTATCAGGAAAAAGATTTTCTCCTGCTCACAAATGAGTCCTTTCTTTCACGCTTGGTCTTAGATTAACAACATGATGGTTTTCTGAGATGCATCAATGTTGCACAGTGCCTCCTAGGTCCCCAGGAATTATAATTTCAATCACTGCTCAGGTATAGCTTTATTATCTGTTCTCTCCTCTCTGCAAAGTCCTACTTTCACCTAATGCTGAGTTCTCCTGTCCAAGTGCCCCATCTCACATAGTGAAAGTTTTTCTGCCTAAGCACATTGAGTTACTCCTTGGGGAGAAGTCATCTTCCTGCCTTTTTTTCAAAGGTTCCCCCATCAGTCTCAAACAAATAAAGCAAATGTGAATCATTGTGTGGGGATGACAAGACAAAAGGATTTGGGAAATGGAAGGCTGCATATGCCCTGCGGGTAAGATCAACAGAAGGGATGTCAAGAGAATACCTCTCAGGAACACTGATAAAATGACTAAAAACCTGGCTACAAGGTCTGAAAATATATTCTCCTAGCCTACATTATGCTAGCAAATTTTGCTATTTTGGTGTATGTCTGTATCCACCTATATTTGGTGGATGTCTTAAAAGTTGAGTTTATTCTATTTCTACCACAAAACAGAGTTTATAATAAACTAAGAGAAATAACACTACATTTCTTTGTGGGATAATATGTTGGAGAATTTTTGGGACCATCTCTTAGTACAGTATCGTTTTTTCCAAGGGACTGTAAGGAAATCATAAGCTGGCCTCTATCACTGTTGTTGGTTCCAGGTCTATGCCAGATTCGGTGTTAGATGTCTCATTGCCTGTTTGGAAGTTTTGTCACAAAATTGCCTATTAAAAATTACTATATAAAATTGATTGTGCTTGCACTTTGCTGTACACAGACTGTTTCAAAATTCTCAGCTCCTGAGATAAAATCCAAATTGTAATTTTCATCATTGTCTATTGCTCTTATTCTCCAGTTTTGGGGAATCTTTTGTAGACCCAGTTTTGTACTCTGGTTTAGTTCCTATTGGAATTTGAGGCACCAGGAGGTACACAGGGTCAGGCCAGGAAGAACCATCACTTGATAGTTCAGTGGGTTCCTGGCTTATAAAACAAGCACAAGTTAAGGTTCACACCATCTAAGGGCCAGCTGGGACTTTTATCTGAGGTCTCATCAAATGCATTTTTCTGATACTACAACTAAAATTCCTATAAAACCAATCTGTCCACTTTTTAAAATCAACCTACTTTCCTTACCCATTGAGAAGTGTTGTTTGAGCTGTAGTGGTGTCCATTGCCAAGAGCATTAGAGATGTCCTGTCCTCATAGGCATCCTGTCTCCTGTAGAACCACTGATGCTTCCAGCAGTAGTTTTCAGGCAGTTTTCCAGACAGTAGTATGTACTGCTTTTAAAATTCTACTTAAGGATCACATTAGGAAGGTATCCAAAAGGAAACTGGAATAAACTCCTTGTTTTCACTTGTTAAGGAGCCTGTAGGGTATTTATCTACATCACAAGAGCTCAATTGTCAGGGCCAAAGCAATGGTGGTAGAGCCTCTGGGATAACAGATTTAAGAAGGAGGAAAAAGTGTTGTGCAACAGCTGCTGGAAGAGACGAATAAGCACGTGTGAAATAAACAACTCTTGTTATCATCAGCGAAAAAAAATGGTCCAAAGAAAAGTAAGTTTGCCATAAAACAACTGCAGTTCACTAAACTATGTGAAATACATGCAAAACCTCTTAATTTCAAAAGGCGAGGGAATATGTAACTGAGGGAAATGAAATTAGTAAAATTACAGGTTTTCAGTAACGGATTGCTCAGTATACAAAGAAACTATATTTTGGCCAGCTTGTTGTGAGAAACCAGAATAAGAAAACTTCATCATATGCAATTATGCAATACCTTTTGGTTTGTTTTGTTCATGTTTTACTTTGTATTTTAAAATACAACACAAGGCTTTGTTTTCCATTAAATGCTTCCATAGAAATTTAGCTGTGTGGGACTTCCCAGCAACAATGACTTTTGTTTCATTAAATACTGTCATGGCTCAATCTCATTGCTTGTTTATCTGCATCCCATTTCACTGCCTCCAGGGGTGTCTCTTATTTAAGGTAATAAAGAATTTACCCTGGAACCCAGATAAAGCACACATGGATAGACCCCACTCTGTGGGGTGGACACGGTGCATACCTGCAAGCAATAAGCATCTAAGGCAGATGCCTGATTCTCCTTTTTACTAAATGGAGATTTAAACTAAGTAGTTAGAGCAGTTCACCGCAATTTGATCAAACCCTGTTTGCTTACTTTGGGCTTAGATGAACGATGCCACAGATCCCCTTGACTACAAAGCAGGTTCATTTAGATGGAGGCATGTGTTCCGTCCACACTCAAGCTCAAGCAGATGAATCTTGACACTCCTTGACACTACAGGCACAGCAGCATCTCCTAATTAAGGGCACCTCTGGAAACACTGTCAGTAAATGGCCAATGTAAAGACCCATTCCTATTGTAACACCATAATACATTGCCAGATTTTTGGGTCCTTAATGGCATACAAATCTTTGACCTAAATATGTATTTTGAATACAAACTTTTGAAGAAAACTACTTATTCTCATCATCTTAGTTTTTAAACAAATATTACAGCAGGAGAAAGAAAACAAAATAAAAATTCCAATTTTTTATTTTATCTCCTAGAGACAAGAAGAAAATTGTGCAATGTAACTCCATATCACACATCTATATTTCACAAAACTAAAAAAGATCACATAAAACAGCCCTTTACATAAGTTTGGCAATGTTAGGTAAATGAATACAGATGCTATGCATTGCTTGGAAAAATAGTTTATTATGTCAGCTTACAAAAATGACAAGTTTTTATGTTATACTTTAAATTACAAGTACAGCTAGCAACTTTGATCCTGCAAAGGTACCAACTATCTCCTGAGATGCAATGAAGACTTGCAACCCTGCCTTCAGGAATTGCTTGGAGTAAGTCCCAAGTCAGCAAAAGTGCAATGCAGTTTGATATTTTTGTTACTGCCTCATTGGCTAACATTTTACAGTCTAATTGCAGAAAGTAGGTACACATGTTGACGTTAAATTAACATATGAACTTTCCTAGTAAAGCCTTAACCAAACTTAAACATACCTGCAGACTGTTCCAAACTTTCAGCTTGCAGCAACACTCAGAGCACAAAAGACAGCTTTCATATACCTCATACTGCAGTCACTTGACAAGATCTCAGCACTTAGTACTTGGATTGGTACTTAGGCTTTATGCACGAGATTTCATTCTGGCTTCATATTGGTATAAATCAGGCACAGGCGTTCTGAAGTCAGAGCAGCAACTAAACAATAAAATTGGTGTTTGGGTGTGACATGAGTCACAGCTCGTGTGTAACCAAGTATCTCAAATTTCACAGGTTGGTAAGGACTTGTGCATCAAACCAACATGGGAACAGTTCTTCCTTTTATACTTCTACAATGCATTGCTCCTAAACCTGCACGAGGTGTTCTGAAAATCCAACCTGTAGACTTACTTTTATGTGCATCCATGCAATTTACAGGAAGTAACAGTCAAGCAGTAGTTCGGCTGAACTTGATCTAAAGGGTCTTTTCCAACCTAAATGAGTCTATGATTCTAGATTTTTTAAAAATTCATTATATACTACTCAAGATAGTAAAGGTGAATTTTTTCCCTTCTTGAAGATGGCAGATAATGGAAAAAATGGACTGCAAATACCTTGTGAAGCTATCCTGGAACTAAAATATCATAGGACAAAAAAGTCAAAACTGTTTTTATTTTGTGAGTCTTGTCAAAAAGCAATACCAACAGTACTGGAATTTAGATGTAAGATATAATTAGCATCTCCCTACACACATAAAAATCCCTATTTTGGTACTCACTGAATTACTAGATCAATTGAAAAACTAATACGAAACAAAACATTTAGTCACAAGTATGAAATACAATTGACACATATTAACAGATGAACCATCTCTCCTTGGAGATGGCTTCATCACTTTGAAAAAGCTGTAGTAGACCACATAAAAGTGGAACAAAGAGCTGCAACATTTCAGAATTTTTCAAATTTCATAAGCTTAGATTGATGTTATTCAGAAATACTATGGTTTTCATTATATAACTTTGATTTAGACTTCTTGAAAAAAATACAGGAACCTAAATGAACTCAAAATCTCATTTCCTAGTTTCTGAAAAATATTAAAATATAAAAATGAAACAGTATCAAATTATTTCAAGTGTTTTGGAGTTTGCTACCATATGATTTTTATAAGATCATGTATTTTTTAGCAAGCATTTGTTGTTCATCAGACCAACACATATGGTAGATTTGCAGACCTTCAGAATGCAATGAAAAAAGAGACAAAGAAAATATTTCTCTCCCCTTTTCTAAAACTCAGCACAAAATTGTCACTCCACTGATACTACAGACAAGACCTCTGCTAGCTTTACTGCAGTCAGGATGTCCAAGCATAAAAGGCAATATTTCTTTTTGAGCAGTAAAATTTTACACTGTATGAACATGTTCATACATGTCAATGTCTATAGGAAAGACACATAATTATGTGGACAGGATATACCTGATGCCTACACAGCTATTAGAAGTCTGAACAGAGCTTTACCTTTCAGAAATCAAGTCTGAAGGAAACTGCAATAGTTCTAGTTACTACACTAAGGTGAACCTCAACAAGTACGAAGAGCTGTACTCCTTGCTAAACATTCAAGGACTTTATCTCAATAAATAATTCAATGTTGAGGAATTTCATTCCACTACGCCTATTTCTAACATATAAGGTTTAGAAGTATTAAACAGACCTTTCTGACTTCAAACCAAGCATAGAAACATTTCACGTCCATATTATTTGTTGAAATTCTGCAGATTTTGTGTTGTTACTTTATACTACAGTGACAATATTTGACTGGGAAATATGATGCAATATATTCAGTGTCACATGTATGAATTGCCTGGGGCAATCTTAGTTTTGGAATGTCCCAACCAAAATACTAGATCACAAGAATAATTTTGCCCCAGTTTTAGGGGCAAAAAACCACTGTATTTCATTCAAATTAAATGAAAACAAAAGATTTGGAAAAAAGTGACTCATGTATCAACTAACTTAATTAGGAGTGCTTGTAATGAAGTATCAGAATTAAATGGTTGGTTTTTTTAGCTAACCCCAAATTAAACAGAAACTGGCAGCATGCAATGGCAAAACACGTTCCAGACTTAAAACCAAATAACATATTCTCTTCTCATATGCCCCAAGGGAAAAAAAATAAAATATCAGCATTTTCTAATAAGCACATATAGAAATGTCAGCCTTAAAAATGATACACCTTCAAAACCTCAGTAATACACTGTTATTGTATTGACACCTTCACCTACAATTCAAGTATTTTTCTATTTGTTGCTTTCTTCAGGTAATGTAACACCACAGCAGAAATGTGAACATTTGTTAAAATACACTGCAAGAGCCAGTATTCCTTCTGAAGCACATCAGCTGCCTCCAGTGGAATTATTTCAACTTTGCTACCCAGTGCACAGCACACATAACAGACTTAGGTTAAGTCTAAATCAAAGTGAGCAAGTCTCACACATTAAGAGATTATATGAAGTGGGTTGATGTCTGTTGATCAACATCTTCAGGAGCTTCATTTCAGTCTGTCACTCTACTGAAATTTAAGCATTTACATTCTGGAAAAATGAAGTGTTTCTTGACTTTGATACTTCATTTTTTCATATTTGCAGAGATTTTTGGACTATTATATAAGAATAATTTGTCTCACTTTAAAAAACTTTTTAGAATAGTTTTTTTGTTAATTTATAGACCTCTAACTGATCAATGGACAACATACTAATGGAGTCACATTCCATGGCTAGCAAGCCTCCCTGCTGATGTAGCTCACATTGAACAAAGGTTTCTGCATCTTCCAGCTTTATGACTGCACTGGAGACTGCTCCAGTGAACACAAAACAAACAGTTCCAAGGTTTCTGATGGACTTGTTGACATTCTGTTAGTCAAAACATGTAACAAAAGTTCTGCCAGCTCCATGATGTCTTCATGGTTGCAGCTGTTTGAGTGAAAGGGTGCTGTCAGTGCTGCACCAGGCAGTGAAAGCCTCAATAAAAATGGTGCACACATTGAGCTCCCTACACCAAACAGCCAGAGATGCAAATTGGTCCCTTGGCCACCAGCAAAACACAGCTCAACTTCATCATTCCCACACTAAGTATACCACTGTATCCCTGGTGGTTTCTGTGAAGAGCCTCATGCCAGAAACATATATTGGGATGTTTCCCAGTTCCATGCTTGTTTAATTGTGAGTGACACAGAAATCCTTTTAATCATCTTTAGCAAATTTCAGTATCACTTTTCAAAAATATTTTCGGTATTAGCAACTGTTTGTAAGGAAGATTATTTGATATTAACACACTGAAGACATACACTTTTTAACATGAGTATTTTAACTTCTAGACTAAGCACTTAGACAGATGTCCTAAATTTGCTGTAGTCTAATTTTTTGCCTCAAATCAATAATATTTCAGGGTTTTTGCAGCAAAGTCTATCCTTTACCATTTTCTTCTACAAACTGATGGTAGAATCAATGCTGGCAAAATGAAAAAAATCTAGACAAATGTAGTAGGAGACATTTACTTTGGCCTGTGGAATAATCTTTAAAATTAGACAGTATGTGACCTGATGTTAGTCCATTTACTATGCAGCTTTTATTTTATGAAACAAATAAGAGTGTCAGAGTTCATATGAAAAGAGCTTAGAAGAAACAACTGCCATCAACACTAATGTAATGTAAAAGAGATATCTCCATGGAGTTCATGTTTTTAAATGTAATAATTTAACAAAAACATGTTAAAAACCATGTTACAAAAATATTTAGTTCCAAATAGCACTCAGTAGATTCCAAAAAAAAAAAAGACTAGAAATTAAAAAATATCACTGCATATTCTCACACTACAGATTTTGTCATTATTAGGGGAAAAGAAAAAAAAATCTCATTATTTCAGACAGAAAAATGACAGAAGTGCAACTTTAGCTTTAGAAACAGGAGAGCTATTGGTGTTAGCACAAATGATAAAAGTTGGATGTTGCTGGATTTTAACCACAGCAATGTCCTTCATTTTTGCTGTCAACATTCCCAGAAGCATTGCAGATTTTTTAATTACTTGGTTATTGGATTCTGCCATGTTTTACTCTTGTACAGAGCACTAAAATATTGTTCAGATTGAAAATTTAATTTAGTTATTTCCATAGAAAATCAAATAAGTTCATATTCACAGCAGCCCAGACTTGCTTACAGTAAAGAGTTAAGAAGTCCTAGAGTAGAAAGTACTTAAGCATGAAAAAAAAAAATTATCCAATAAAGAATTTGATTTAGGGATCACTTTCATTCAGATGTAAATATTAGCTATAAGACAGTTTTTAAGCTAAGGCAACAAGAATAAAAATGTGCTGAAATTTTAATTTAATCATTAATTGCTTTTCATCCCTTCTACTGTTAGTTTTCATCTACAACTGCTTCTAAATTCTACAATTACATCAAAATCACAGTACTTTGTGTGATGTCCTCCTGCACATCCATTTTTGACAAGGCTGTGTTGTTAGCTATTGACCTGCAGCTCACACTAACTTCAGCATCAATTTCTTCTGTGGGGTGACAAGGGCTCAGAGAGAGATAAATTTGTTACTAACACACTGCAGACACAAGGAGTTTAACACAGATACTGTAAAATTGGACTGTAACAAGCAGTGCCACAAAAATTTATGAAAAAATTTTTCTCCATGTTATAGATATGAGAAGGCATACAGGTTGAAGACTTCTTATTTTTGGCCATAAAAATTATAATGAGTGTAACAAAAATACCTACTGATTTCCTTTCATAGTAATACTGGCATTGTCATTCATGAAAAACCATTCAGTGCTACCCAGTGCAGAGACTATGCCTTGCAAGCCAGAGATGAACTGATATGAAGATTCCTTAGCTCAGAAATGGATTTTAGAATAGTAGTTTCTTTGTTGTATGGGTTTTTAATATTTTTTTTTTTATTTTGCTGTAATAGCTAGTAAAAATGTGGCTGAGCTTTGAATACCGAGGAGTACTTTCACCATCACTGAAGACTGGTTTTCATCAAACATTTGAGAAGTAAATGTAAGCAAATTGCTTTGTTTTGCACTGTAAAGTTTTATTTTTAATTTTTATTTTGACATTTCTTCTTAGGATGAAGTAATTGCACAATAAAAATAAATTATTTGGTTATTTAGTAAATATAATCTGGAAAGTAAGTACTCTCAAGTCTGCTGTAAAACATTAGGAACTGAAGGGCATAAAATTTATAGCTTATTCATGTGACAGCTATTTGATGCTAAAATAGAGGGCCAATACATTTTTGAAAGCACAATATTGAAGCACTGTATTTCAGTACAGCATTTAAAAAAAAAGAATACCTGATACTAGCTTATAAAACCTGTATGTACCTAGTACATACGTTAAAAATTGCTTGATTTACCAAATGCTAAACAGAAAAAAGATTTAAACCATCATTTTTTGTGTGTGCGATACCACATTTTTGATTATTGAAAACCACTGCTTTGGGTAAGAATTGAGTAACCGGTCATTAAAGGGTTAAATTATAAAAAATCTGGCTACCAGAAGGGACAGCAATTTTTAAGATGTGAAATATAGAAAAGGTTTTATTTAAAAATTATCTGCTTTTCTACTTTAAAAACTGAAACTGCAGAAGAGTATTATTTCAGACCAATATGGAAAAAATATTATTTCTTAAACCACAAAGGGACAGTTTCATTTAATGTCATGAACGGAACCTTAGCCTTCAGTAAAGACGAAACAAAATTCACTTTGTAATATGAACCTCTATCAAAGGTGGAAGAGAGACAAATATTACATGCTATCTAGACTGCCATGCCAAGAGGGTAAATTTAAGAAAGCCTTTCCTGGCTTTGGAGTCCATAAGTCTACTCAATAAGATTTGTGTGTGTGTGTGTGTGTGGTTTGACATCTCTTCTGTACTTCCACCCCTTTTAGAAAATTTTATAAAAGGATATAAAACTGATGAAAATCCAGTCACATGGGCAAAGGCAAATATACTAAGCACTGAACATACTTAAAGTTTTAAAGCTAAAATTGTTCACCCAGTAGTAACTTCTGTCCTATACAGAACAAAAGTTGATTCAATACTTGATGTAATAGTGAGGGAGATCAGACTGCTTATCCTTAGCTTTCTAACAATATAAAGCAGTAGTGATCCTGTTTTAAGAATACATACTTCAGATTTCTAGGTTACAAGTCAGGAAAAAATGTATAAACACATAGAATGGTAAGATTTTTACAAATGCTTTAGGAAAAAGAGAGGACATTATATTTCTGGTATTACTGCTCAGCTAAGACTCTCAAAGGCCCATTTATTTACTTCCATGTCACAAATACACTTAAACTTTGGTAAAAGAGTTATCCATCAGCAATCCATGCACCAGACCTCACTCCCACATAAGGTGTTTTGAGAACATGATTTATTGATTATTAATATATTTTAAAGTGACCTTTCTATGTTTTAGCCTTAATTTGTAGGTACCATAAAGTCTGCAAGCTTTATGGTGACATTCAGTTTTGCAAGTTTTTAAGTTTCAGCAGACCAAACCAGTTAAAATATTTTAAATTACGTATTTCCACCTCTGCTCTGATCTAATAAAAACAATAAATTACAAATCTTGGATCCAGTTTAAGTAAGTTTAGTTTATAGTAGCTGTGGCTCGATCTAAACACTGTTTCATGACATCCACACTCTTTGTAGAGAGCAGAAGTTTATTTGTTGATTTTTTTTTCTTGTTCCTGTCATAGCCATTGAGATCAGAACAGATGGATGTGCCTGTTTTGTTTTCTTGACCCTCTGAATGAGGAGATGTGCCAGAAGTCTGCAAAAAGCCAATGCCAGTGCTACCATGCACAGCATAATACACAACAAAAGGTAAAGAAAACTTTTTAACCATGTCAGATTTTTTTTTAATTTTAAGAAATTTAAGTTCATGGAATATGAACATAGAATAAACTCTATCTTTTTCTCATTTCTGTGTCTGATTTTGATGTTCTCAGTATGTTGGTCTGCTTGAAAAAGGTTGAACACAAGGTGATTGTCAAGGAAGTGCACTGTCCAGAGCACCCACTGGGACTACAGAACACTTCATCAGAGTATTGGAAAAAAAAAAAAAGTCCTCTTTTGAGATGGCACATGATGGCCTGTGAATTATACCTGAGACACCTACAGTGCTAAAAAATAACAGTGTTTCAGAGAAGAAATAGGCTTCCTAAATATGACAGAAGTCTGCAAAACAAAATTGTTTGAAAGGTGTTAATGTTGCTACAGTACTCTGATAGCTTTGGCAAATCTTTTAAGGCACAGTAGCAGTGATCAAGCCAGAAGTAGCTGAGAGGAGAATAAAACAAGAGCCATCAGAAACACTTGCATTTCTTTAGACAGCAGAATTCTTAGAAAATTCTTCTTTGATTTGTTTTTTGAGACCCCTGTAATGCAAAATTGTGTCTGATTTGTTTAGAATAGTGATATCTGAACAAATAGAAATGTGCAATATTGTATTTCCACAGTATTTTACAATCAATATAACACATCTTCTCTAACAGAGAACAAAACAGGATAAATAAAGGAACACTAAACATTGATTTTAAAATTTTCACAGCCACACAGAAGTGCCTTTTAACACTCTTGATACAGATGGGAGAGATTCAGATTCTTTAAAGTGCCTGATTGAGGCCATCTTATAAAACTGTTCTGGCCAGAAGAATAATTCTAGCAACTTATAACACATATATGCTGAGCCTCAAGCCAAGATATGAATTATGAGAAAATTAATTTTGAGAAAATTTCGTTTTATTACTTCTTTCTTAAATGATTTTTTCAAACAGAGGGACCTAAAAATCACAAATGTGCCTGTACAACACTGTATAATTACTCTGTCTCATAGTAATAGGCAATTTCTGATTTTTTTTCATTATTAATAATGAATTAATAGTGAAAAAAATTTCACTATTATTTTTTAATTATTAATAATGTTACTAAACATAATTAAAAAACAAGTGTCAGAACAATTCCTGTATAGGGGTAATAAGCTCATAGAAAGATTAATGTCATAGGTATTTACAGTATTTCAGGAATACAATAAATTTAGTCTAAGAGGACGGTAGAAACAAACACAAGAGAATAGCAAAATCTCAGAAAGCCTTTGGTGTGCAAGTCGCCTAAATTATCAAAAGAGTTCATCAGAATCACTCTTGGTGCTCTTTCATTTGAGTGTTTGGCAATTGCTGAATCATTAAGGGTGCATCACTCCTACAGCAGATGGAACTACTACTGTTCAAAACCAAAAAAAAAAAAAGTGGAATGGAATTTACCACAGAGAAAACTGGTGTGGTTTCATAAAATATTCTACTGTTTTCCTCCGTCTGCTTGCAGCTTCATTTCACTAACAGCAACATTAGTAGAATCTTCCTTGGTGCCACTTGTATCCAAAGGAACCATTCCTTTCCTAAGTGCTAGAAACAAGTCACACAAAAAAGGTAATTAAGCATCTTCATAATCATACATTAAGTCAGTTAGACTCAAGTATCTTAGAGGCCTTTTCAAATCTATGATTCTTGAATTTGGTTGACTGGCCATTAGTTTTTATTTAAAACATGTATTTCATTATATTATATAATTTATTCAGCAAGTAATAAATATTCAATATTCATAAGTGAGAAGAGAATATTTTCTCTGTTTTCTAGAGAAATAGATTTTAATACTCTATAATACAGGCATAGCCATGAGCTTTCTTATATATAAGAAATGTAGACTCTGTTTAAAAAAAATTGATTCTTTCACTAAGATATATTTTCCACTTATTTTTCCAAAACTTTTGTTTAAATAAGGTAAAACAAACCTCTCAAAAATTTGTGAAGGAATATCTTTATCAACAGAATGGACTTAAGTCACCAAGTGACACTGAACAAGTGCTCATACAATGTCATACTGTGTATATACCTTCACAGCAGAGTACATATATAGTGAATCTTTATAAATATATTATATTGCATCAAAATGCAAACAATATGAATTGACAAAACATCTTATCATAAAATGCTGAAGAAAAAAAATCAAATATCCATAGATTTAGCAAAAGGTAGAAATTAAGGGAAGGAAAGTGGCTACCAGCTTATACAATATACCCTTCTTCTAACAGCCTTCTTTATAGCACAAGCATGTAAGAAAAGTTGTCCTACTGAATATCCAGAGTGCAATTTTTAACAATCCAGTAAAATTGTAGCAGTACATAACCAAAAGCTATTTAATAAGGAGCAAGACTTCACAGTTTGGTTAGGAGGGGTGAGATGTTTTCACTTTCAGAAGAATGAAATCACTGTGTTTGGAACATTGGTGTAACAGTGAGTTCTAAGTATTCAGCATGAAGTTTTCAGAATTGGTTCAAAGCTCTGCAGTTGTACACTATGTCAGCGGTACCTCCTGTGGACAGTATTGAAAGTAAGGCAAAAAATCATAAAGAAAGTTCATTGCTTAACTAATTCAATTTGCATTTTTCTAAGTGATGATGTCAAGTTTCCAGTCATTCCAAGTTCTTATGCTTAAGCAGCCCTAGGTTTTGTTCTAGAAGGGTGCCCACAGCATAGTGATGTTGCAATGTCTTTTTACTTGTAAGTATGTTACATTATTTATGAATGCCAATTAAAACAGTCTTAAGAACTTATGAAAAAGTGTACATAGAGGGATAAAGACAGGCACCAGCAATACAGTGCAAAAGTTAATTGTTCTGACAAAAAAGCCTACATTCAGGACAACTCAGTTTTATTCTGCTGTGGTGTCAGTCCTACTTCATACCATGTTGACACAAGAGTGTTGTCCATCACAACTTATGAAGTCCTGAAGCATAAATTCCCAACAACAATAGAAAGCCTCTAAGACATATGGTTTCTGGGAAACCATCCAGTTTAAAACCTCAAAGTGATGAAATGTGCAAAGAGAAAAGCAGGACTCAATTCACAAAGCTAATGCGAAGCATGTGCAACTCTAGGGACTTTTGTACTCAAAATTTCAGGAAAATACAGGGGCTGTAAAAACAGTTTCTGAGGATTATTCTTTAGATAACAACTAGTAGTGACTGTCTGGACCAACCATATTGGTCTGATAATAATATAGACTGCAAACCACATCTAGTGAATGTTTCCTTAAATAAATTATTTTCTCATTTCAGCTTCTTAATTTCTAAGAAAATGGGTACAGAAATAAAAGTGCGCTGCCTCAACATATTTTAAAATATGTTTGTAATGCAAAAGCTGTTATAATTGCAGAAATTATACCAGAAACAAAACACAGTGTTGATGTTAATTACTTTCCTTTTAACTGCTTGCTGCATTCGCAAATTTTTTGTAAACATATATATATGGAAACAGATTGTTGGTCTCTTATTTATTTTCCAAACTACTTGTCCTTCTTTCATCAACCAATTTTAAACTTAAATCCCACTATCTCCCTCACAAATAAGTTAAATTACTTCAAAGAGTCTGCTCTCCTTCCAGGTGCTCTCCACAAGTCATAGGAGACCCACATTGGAAAGAAAGCTTCTAGTACTAGTTATTGAATCTATACTCTGTGAGGCCTCATGAGCTGAACAGAGATGGAATGGGAGAATATAAATCACAAAGGCTTGCAAACTACTCCAAAAGGCAAATGAAAGAAAAAAAATTCCATCCTTCTGTTTCTGAAGAAGGAGACAATTAATCACAGAAAATAGATGATGACATGTATAGGAAGATTTATTAAAAGCTACAGTAGGTTTGGGAGCAAAGATGTCAAATTATACTTCACTGTCAAAGTCTCAAATGATAATTAATTAATATCATTACTGAAATTTGAAGTTCATTATGTTTCTGTGACTATCATGATTGAAGTAGCTGACTTCATTTGCCGCTCCCTGAAAAATTTCCTTAATGCTAATACCACAGCAGAATTTTCACTGTCCTCAAGAACTATACCAACAACTTCAAAATACGTATTTGACTGGTGGAAATCAGTTTCAGCATAAAGTGACAATCAGTCAAAAACCAAAGTCTGTGGAGTAATCCACATATTTCAGTGCCATAAGCACTAAGTAGTGAACTGACCACTGTCTTTTGTTAATCATTTTTTTATTTCCAGAAAATTTAGTACTTAGTGCTGGTAAAAAACAGTTGAATCAGAGAATAAATATGCACAACTGTTTCATCAGATTGGTATTCAGATCTCATGGATCCTATTTTTCTTAAAACTGCCTAAAATTTATTAAAAAGTTTTAAAGCAACAAAGTCCTAGCTCATTTAATTCAGATTAAAGCAGTATAAAGACATTGAAATATTTTAAGAACTTTTAAGCGGCATTTTTAAATTTCAGTAAATTTTTGCAGTGACCACTTTTGGAATTCTTGAGACTGGAAGGGACTGCTGGAGGCCATTTATCTGAACATTCTGAGAGGCATCAGTTACTTCTTTTCTATACCCAAAACAGGTTCAGCTGTACTTCGATTTTTAAGACTTTGATAGGGATGAGGTTTGGGAAAACAGAAAAATCAACTCAGAGTCAAGGTAAAGTGTTCCTGAAGTGCAGATGATACAGAGGGATTAGCTCCTATGCTTTATTCCCACTATTGTTATTCAGGGTGCTCTGCAAAAAGATAGTAACCCCAATGCATAGATTCTGAAAGGAACAGAAACCAATTACCTTTAACCTCATCAGATCAGCTCAGGACTTACTGATGAGCAGTAATGTACCACAGCACTCATTTTAAGAGGCAATGCTTTCAAAGTGCAATGAAGCCTGAAATAGGCTTCAATAGAATGTAACTTTCTAAATAGGTTCCCAGTACACAAACTGGCTATACTGAAAATAAATGGAAGGCGATACCCTTCTGAAGAGAAGTATTTTGATATCCATGTACTGATATGCTTAAAAACCCCCTTAAAACCTGGTTTTTAAGTTACTTTTGACACTCATGAAAGGTGTGCCTACATACTCAATCAAGACCTATATGCCCTATGTTTTATTGAGCATTTCCCAGCATTTCCCAGCTGTATCAGAGATCCCATGACTTCACATGAACACAAGTTGTTGTATACGCACAAGGAAGTAGAAAAAAAAAACAGTTAAAAAAAACTATTGAAGTAGAATTAGAGAATTCAACTTTCATTGAGAAAATGCTACACAAGCATAAGACTAACTGGTACACATTAAAGATCTTGGAAAGAATCCATGTTTGAGGACAGCTCTCTGGTCCCTCAGAAGACCAGAGGGTCTACACAGCTTACAGAGGTATGACTCATTAAGCAGAGATTCAGAATTCAAGGGCAGTTCTTTTCTTTGGCATAGATAAACAAAATGTATTAAATGTCCCAGTCAAAAAAACCCAAACAACTGTCATGGGATGCAATGAAGTACTTCCTAGGTAAAGGCAAAAAAACCTAAAACACAGAAGAATACTTAAGATGGTTCCAGCACTTCTTTTTTGAAAAGCAGCATCTCACTCATCCGGGAAAAAAAAATTTAGAAGAAAAATATATGTTACCTGTGGAGTTTTTTTCTGTGATATAATACTTACAACCTGAACTTGAAAGCGGTGAGCTGCACAAAAAGCTGTTCTGAGTTCTCCAACTAGAAGAGTGAGCAGCCACTTCTACATCAGAAATTTCAGCATCCATTTTCACATCCTATGGGAACCAAATAAAAATAATTTTATCTGTTACTATCAAGCAGCTGCAAACTTTAACAAAAAGTAGTAGCACACATACAGGCACATGCTGTGATTTCACACACAATGGAAAAGACTGATTTGAATTCACTGCGTTCCCAGTATTGCACTTAGGTTCAAATTAATTTGCTTACAAGTTTTATCCCCACTTCACCACTATAAATGTCTGCAAAAAACTGCTTCGCCTTGAGAAAAGCACTGGCAGCACTACAAATCTTTGCCACTACAGCACGTTGTAAAAATGCTCTTTCCTATTCACATCACATCCACAGTTCAGCACATACCATATCAGCAGGGCAGACATCAGTGAATAATGACTTCCTCATCAATGAATGGTTCACACTAATTCACTGAAGTTCCACAAGTAGTAATAAATATAAATCTATTTTCTCTGCCACTGAGGAAACTTAAAGTTCATTGATTTCTCATATCAAAATACCTAAAAGTGCTTTCGAAATTTTTTGTTAAACCATAAAATAAAATTTTAAGTACAATGTTACTATTTATTTACTAAACACATACAGCATAACTTCTTGGTGAGGAAAGTCATTTGGTCTATAAGCTAAAAAGAGAAGATAAATTTAAAAAGGTCATTTAAACAAAAATCCCTGAAAAATCTCTATTAGCTCTGCAGCAAGTAGTCCCCAGTTACAATACCATCCAAAACAAGATTAAAAGCTTGGCTTGGTATCGAAATTACTGTTTCTTGAAATGAGACTATGTAATAATGAATAAATGCATCAATTCATAAAACACACAATTTACTGCTGAATTCTTATTATACAAAGCCTCCGGGAATTTTAAAACATCTTGCAATTTATCATTTATGTTGATACTTAATTTTATGTTGATACATAAGATTTGAAAACTAAACAAAAAAAATTTACATTAATTTAGAGATATAATAAGCTTTTGTTCAATCACTGAAGAAGGATTTACTCCTGTTAAGACTAATGGGAATTATACATATTAATCCCCTTATGTGCTGATGAGAGACTTAATAGCTAAAGTGTTCATAGCACAATAACAATTTTTAAAGAATAAAAAAAGTTTTTGTCTTTCTATTCTGCTTCCATAAATGCTTTAAAAGAAGAGCTTTAAACAAGAAAGGTGCCTCTAACAGTACCTGCAATACAAAATGGCTCTCTTTTTACAGGAATATTAATGTATAATATATAATGTACCTTTTGTCATATGCTTCATTGGCAATCACATCTGTTGTGTTTGAGTAGATGATCAATCGTGTGTGGCAGGGAAACCTTCTAAAATATTGTATCTCTACATCAAAACGTTTATCTCTAGTTTTCCTCTGGCTTTCTGCTTTGATTTTTCTTCTGTTGCTATTTTCTTTTAATGTGTTATGTTTATGGGGTTTTCCACCAATTTCATGTTTATCTACTATTATTTGGCCCTTCCTTATTTGAAAAATCAAGATTGTTGTACCTGATGGTATTCTGCCAGCCTATGGCCTACTTTTACTACTGGAAATCTTCCATTTTATAACACACAAAAAGAAATTATGATTTTTCTGGGCTTCTAAGCAACAGGCATTTTAAAGCCATCTGACAAGATTACAGAAGAGTAGGAAGATTGAGTGGGGACAAAAGAAATCATAAGAAAGAAAGAAAAAGACCTGCTTTTAGAGAAACATTCAACTTTGGTTTACTTTTTCCTCCTTAAAATGAAAAAAGACTGGGACACAAGATTAGATAATGCCTGCCTGAGATCAATGTTGGCAAGCAAGCTGAAACAAGTGCATTATAAGAAAGGCTAGAAAGAAAAACTTAACAGAGGAAAAAGATTAATTTCAGAAGTAATTTCATCGAAAATGATAAATGTAAAAATTTTATAAGAAACATGGATTTTCTTATCACCTAACAAGTACCTGTCTACTTTGTTTAGCAGAGGCACTATGTATACAGCATGAACTAAAAAATCAGAAAGAATCAACTTTGGTGTCCTCAAACCTACACTCTTCCAGCAATCAATTTTAGAGACTCCCAAATGACAAACACTAAAATAAATAAATAAATAAATAAATGGCATTTGAGTTAGTTTCAATTGAGGGTGAGAAAGGCAAGCATTAAAAAGGTTTTTTTTACTCTAAGCTAGCCTGATCACTGAAATCAGATTAGCACCCGTCTGTTACTTGGTTTTGAACATTCTGTTCTATTTGCAACAGCCGTGACAGCAGAGTACTGTATGTCATGCAAAAACCCAATTAGGCCTGACTAAATGGAAACCATTAAATGCTCTCGGTTGTCTAAAGAAAGAGAATTGTTTTGGAATAAGCTTTGTACTGGATTCTGATTATTGAGTTCAAGTCACACAAGCTCAGTAAGTTCAGTCAGCTTAGTGCAATGTTATGTTCTACCGTCAGCTGATGCATTCCACTTAGCTTTTCAATGTTTTCCAAATTTCAGTAGCTACTGATTTAGTAACGCTTCTGTGGAGGGAAGAGTAATTCAAGATACTGAAGATTATTACCAGCAGCATACTGATTGTGCCTGTTTCCTCCTTTCAATTCTTTCTTACAGAAGTGCAAGATGGCTTTTTCAAGTAACTTAATACCTTCTGACAACAGCAAATTACCAAGCTATAGCATTCTATATTTATTTTACCTTTTCCACTTTTTAAAAGACATGCTATAAGTATGTCCTCATTTTACAGAGGGAAAACAGTTACATATAAGTTGGGGAACACAAACATCTTTTTCATAGAGTGTGTGATCCTCGATTTGAGCTCAACTGCTTAGAGACACAGGCATGATGCATTGCCAAAGAAACTGATTTGATTGAGACATGTAGCAGAAATACTAGTATGATTCTTCAGGTCTGATCACTTATTTCAAACACTTCCATAAGAAATTGTAGTTCTGCTGAAGCTAGCTGCTATCACAATGACAATATGACAATGAACAAGCTAGTAAAGGAAAGAAAGCATGTTAATTATTGGAAAGTTGAACTCATTACAGGCAAAGTTTCTAAAGAAGAGCACTGGACTTGTATTGTAGGCAGTTAGTTATTCATGCTTAGCACTGCTGTAAGTCCAGTGAGTGACCTTTAGCAAATCACTTCCCTGCTGTTTGCCTGGATTTCATTTCTGTATGAAAGAGCCATCATACATAATTGTTTGCAAAGAATGGAAATATCAACTACTGAAGAATTACTACATGTCATTTATAAATTAGTCAACCTTTTTACAGAGGAAACAGGTTTCTATATCTTTTACTTGAATGGACAAGAGAAAATTAAACAATGAAAAAATTGCTGCAGACAGTAATTTGACAAAGCAGGTAAACACTTCAGAGTATTACAACACAATAAGATAGCTTTCTGTGAAAGTTGAAAGATTTTTTGGAAAGTATCCATGGCACTTACAATGAAGGCAACCTTTAATTCATCAAATTCCATGCCATGTCAATATACCTGCCATGCCATCAGCCATGCCAGCTATATGAAACAGAAACATTCATGCATGATTTCAGTCTGTGTTTGTACTAGGAGTTAACAAGGTAAGGTTATGTTGCTGAAAGTAACTGGGACAGAGAAGTGGAGCATACACACATACCTTGACTTGCCTGACTCTTTGCTTGGAATCTTCCAGCTGCTGCTGCAAAGAAGTCACTATGTCTTTATATCTCATATACCTCTCCTCAATCATCTCCCTTCGGCAATGGGACTCCTAGAAATGCATGTAAAGATTTAGATGATTTCATAATGTGAAAGTAGATAGAAATTCTGACTATTGTGAACGCAGGTATCATCAAGGATTTTCACCACAGCAAGAACAAATTAAGAACTAACTTTCAGAGGCTGAACTACAGGCACCATACAAAAGCATAATGTTCTGTACAGAGAAATAATATTAAAATACATGCAGATCAAAATGAAAATGGCCTTATCCTTAACTGGTGAATGATTTCTTGTAACACTTTCCAAACTTCAGGAATATCATACCTTCTAAGAAAAATTCTGTAATGGTGGAAAATTAATTTCAACACTATGGAAACAAACACTTGAAGAAAAAATGGTTCTAAGCATATGGACAAAATAGTATTTTCAACAAGAAAGCATAATGTTTCTCACTGAACTAGCTAATGATTCACTTGAATTAACAAACCTCCTAGACAACCTGAGAGGTTTATCAAAACTTACTTCCTCTTGCCTTCTCCCTTCCTATGAAAACATTGAAGGAAGAACTTGCCAGCTATTGTACAAAAAACTCCAATATGCTATTTGCAAATAGAAACAGTAAAGAAGCTCCAAACTGACATCTTTCTCAAAGCTAAGGCATAAAGCTTAGCTCTCTTGAATAATAAATTACTTCTTAAACAAAACACTGTGTTGATAGGGACTCATTTTCAGAAAACCATCTTTAAACAATTAAGCGTGATGGAGAAGGACAAAGCCCAACTGAAACCAAAGATTTTGCATTTCAATCTCACAAATATTGGCTAAATTATAACTAGAGCAAACCAGAAAACTACAGTGTAATTTCATACCAGTGTTAAGTGCGAGAGGGCAAGTGTGAAGGAGATTGCAGATGCTTGCTGAGAAAAAAAATTTTCTTTTAGTAGAAACAGAAGGTAAAGATAAACCTGTCAGAGCAAAAAAAAGCTCTTCTGGGGAATCTGGAATGTGAAATTAAAACTACACATCTCAACAATATTGTTTATAAAAAACCCAAACATTTTAAGCAGAACTTGCATTACCAAATCTGTTGATGATGACAGCAATAAAATGGTGTAGAATTATTAACTGATGACCTTGTGCAGGAACACAAAATAAACAATGCTCCAAACAAGTATGTTTTGAAATGTTTATGACAACCACAGATTAAGAAATTTTACTTATCAAATAAAATGCAAACCATTATGTTTTTGTTGATCAGTGGTTTAATACTGATTTAAAATTTATATTGTGTAAGGAAGTTACAAATTCTTTTCTATTAAACCACCCATTTCATAAATGGAAATTAACTATGGTACAGCTGTTTAGCCACTTAGCCACTGAAAATCTAATCTGAACCTTATCACTCTTGACAGTATGTCACCACTACTGTCAATATGTCCTACTGTGTCCAAGCACATCTTGATTGGATAGTGGTGCTGCAAAAATAAGTAGCAAGTATTGTCATTATGTCAAAACAAAATAAAAAGTTGTAAAGATCATCTATCTTTACTTGTTAAGTTAAATATTTAAACAACTGGCATAATTCATTTAAATATAAAATTTTCATTTTTTAACATGTAATATCAGAATTTACCACTCCATAAAAATATTCTGAAACAGTAATTAACACATGACCTGTTATACCCAGTTATCAATGTTTGCCTACATTATGCAAAGTGTTAACAATTAGAACTAAATTTATAACTTCAAAAAGATCCATATAAACATGAAAATAAATTTTAGTATGTTTCTGTCTATATAATACATACATATGCAACTGTAAATATCTTATTAAACAACTTATCTGTACATTCATAGAGACTATTAGTTAACCAAATATTTTAGAAGTATTGAGAGAGTCAAATGAAATCTTTCTCACTCCAGTATCTCTGCAATCTTCTAACAGGCTCAGTTTCTCAGGCACAGACTCCAGGTGGTTTAAAGCTACTCGGGTACTCTAAAGAACAGAACACAAGTTAAAACATTAAAAACAAAACCATTCTTTCAGCCATCTCACATTTACAAATACCAGTCTTATCAGCATACTAGTTCAAGCTTCCTCAGTTAGGGTGTTGACTTGCCCTAAAGCTCAATCACGAGTAGCTGTGGGACTCACTGAAGCAGCCATGTCAGAGGCTCCAGCCAGCCAGCCAAACCTGCTGATGGGAGATGGAGCTCTCCAGGTCAGAGGCTGCCACGAGTGCCTGGTGCCTCTTCATGAGGCTGAGGCTGACCATTCTTTCACAGAAGGTGAGCTGTGCTTGAGGAGCTAGCCACCAGCTACAGGAAGAAGTGAACAGCCTACATAGTGTTGAGCAAAGCAGCAAAAGACTGATAATTTTCAGAGTCTCAGTCTCAAGACTCTCAGGAGTCATGAACATCCATTATAGCGGAGAAGCAGATGGACTCAGAATGCAGAAAACTAATTAGTCCAAGGACTGTTAGCCAAGGGTCTGTTCAAAGATGAAGGCTGGAAGCAGGTCACAGCATGTACTAGGAGGAAGGTTCCTTCACCTCCTCAGAATTCAACAGGTAGGACTGGCACCCTCTACAATACATGTGAGGCTCTGGAACCAGAAGGCTAGACTACTGATGAGGTGGGTGAAGGTATTTCTGAGACAGTGTGGCCTCCTAAAACACCACCACCTATACTCTGCACCAAGAACTCTGTTAACAGGAAAATGAAGGGTAGTTGTAATAGGAAACACCTTTCTAAAGAGAATCGAGGGTCTCCTTATGCAGACTGGACCCATCTGTCTCCAGGGACTAGAATAAGAGACATTACTGATATGGGAAGAATACAGTCACTGTACAGCTTGTCCCTGTAGGGAGAAAATTGGTACGGCCAAAGCTCTACTGGAGTTGAAGCTGGCCAGAAATGTGGAGCACAATAAAAAGAGTTTTTAAAAATATATTCATGGCAATAGGCAGTGCAAAAAAACCCTCATCCCTTAAAAGAATGAGGATGGTCAAACAGGGACAGAGATGAGGCAATGGCATTTAATGCATTATTTGCCTCTGTCTTCAACATGGATGATTGACTAAGGGGATCACAGTGCCCTGAGCAGCAGGACCGTGACTGTGAGAATGATAAACTCCCAGCCAACCCTGAACTTGTGTGGGATATGCTACTTCAGTTGGATCCCTACAAGTCTATGAAGCATGAAGGGATTCTTTCAAGACTTCTCAAAGAGAAAGCTGATGTCATCACAAAACCTCTCTTGATATATTTGGAGTGGTCTTGAGAATCTGGAGCAGCTCCAGCTTACTGGAAGATGGTGAACCTTGTCACAATTTTAAAGAAGGGCAAGAAAGAGGACCCCATGAATTAAAGGACTGTCAGTTTCACTTTAGTGTCTGGTAAAGGGTAAAGTTATGGAAAAGATTATGCTAAGAGGTATTGAAAAACACCTGTAAGACAACACTGACATTGCTCACAGCCATCTTGATTTCATGACAGGAAAAGTCCTCTTATTATCAAACCTGATTTCCTTTCATGACCTCCTTGAGTCCTGTGTGCAGTTTTGGTCACCAAACCATAACAAATGTATTAAACTGTTAGAGAGCATCCTAAGGAGGACAATGAAGATGGTGAAGGGCCTGGAGGGGAAGCCATGTGAGGAGTGACTGGGGTCACTTGGTCTGCTCAACCTGGAGGAGACTGAGGGGAGACCTCATTGCAGTTACAACTTCCTCATGAGAGGAAGAGTAGGTGCAGGCACTGGCAAGAGCTCTTCTCTCTGGTGGAGACAATGACCTGAGGAAATGGCCTGAAGTTGTGTCAGGGAAAGTTTTTGGATATTAGATGAAGGTTCTTCACCCAGAGGGTGGTTGGGCACTGTATCAGGGAAAGTGGTCACAGCACCAAGCCTGCCAGAATTCAAGAAGAGTTAGGACAATGCTCTTGGCTATATGGGGTGACTCTTGGGGATAGTGCTGTGCAGGGACAGGAGAGGAGTCCCTTCAAACTCAGTATAATTCTGTGAGTTGATGATTTTTATTTTTAATAAAAGTATATATAGTAAGCACTTAGCTAAATATAGAATAATCAAATCTCCTATTTTCAGATTAGGCATATGGTATGTACCACTGAAAAATGAATTACCATTCTAGGAAGACTTAGGGTTAGCCTCAACAATAAGATTTCACATTCACACCCATCACACAAAAAAATGCAGTCTATTGCAAACTGCAAAGAACTGAAAAAAATAAATATGGTTTTGGTTTTGTGTGCAGATGAAGTTGGTTGATCATGCACAAAGAACAGTCATGTCCCACAGGTCAGATGCCTCTGCAGCTTCTCAAAGGCTGCCCTTCTATTATTTGTCAAAGAGCAAGTAAAACCAGAACTGTTTGTATTTTCTGAACAACAGTTAGCGTTTCCTCCACAATTCTCCAAATCACACTTCTTTGGATAAGGTTCTGCTAGTCTGGTATTCAATCTACCAGTAATGGACTTCATTAACCATATTACTAGCTTGGTAATTTAAAGCAAAATCTTAAAACAAATAAAAACCGTAAATCCTGAAATAAAATATTATGTTGTAAAGCCTGTGCAAACCAAGTTAACTTGCTCTTAACTACAAAAACTCTGTTACTAGTTCTGGAAAATCTCAATCTGACCACCATGAAAAACATTCCGTTTAGATCCCAGAGACTAAAAGTTTCAGTCACAACAGGAGAAGAAAAATCAATGGGAGCTTCTCTGCACAAGTGGTATCAACTTCAAAAAGATGGAGACTAGGAGCGAGGAGTGGGGAATCAGAAATGAACAAGATAACTTAAATGAAGACACACCATCTGTTTAAAAGCAGATGTCTGCCTTGTTGTTAGTTCCAAACATTCTGGTTTTAAGGTTTTAAGAAATATTCATAACAAACAAAGGTCAAATTTTATAAACAATGGGATTCATTTGCAGCTAACTTGGACTGAACTTGTAGTCAATATTCAAAACCAATAAACTAAATTAGATAGAGGATATAAGATTCATTCTTCTGTTTCTGCAATTATATGTATGCAAAGATATTACGTATTTCGATATCTATCTGTTTACCCACCTTGTTTTAATAGAGATGACCTGTGATCTGTTCTCATAAAAAAAAGAACTCAGGCCCTAGGTGTAAGCCTATGCCTTAAGCCATTCATTTTTCAATTCCTTCTCTAATTTCAATGCCAAGACCTCATGTCAACACTGTCTGTAAATGGATTTAAGGAAGATGTTAATCATCTGTTCTTCCAAAGTGTCTCCTAAATATATCCCCTCTATTTCATGCACTTTTTGTAGTGGAAAAAAAAATAGCTGTTTCTTTTCTAATCATTATCAATTATATTATTAAATATAATCCTGAAAGCAGAAGACCAGCATTTGGGTTAGATGCATATTCAGTCTCTGTTTTTTTGGTTTTGTTGAGAATCATGTGGATAAAGAATGGTACAGGCTACTTGGATTTCTGAAAGATATTTTAGACTTCTAAAGTTTAAATCTAACTTCACATTCAAAAGTATGAGCTCTAAGGTACCATTGCTGCTCAGGAAGCAGATCATGGGGCAGTGATGCATATTACCAAGAATCTGCTATTGCAGTGCTCAGTATCAATCAGAAAACCAAAATCAACACTCAATATAATCAGGAAAGGATAAAAAAAGCCAGAGAGCATAACTGTCCCAAATCATTAATCCAACTGCATCTTGACTGCTGAGTGCAGATGTGGATTTTTATTTCAAAAGGGAAATAGGGAAAGGTCAGAAAAGTTGAACAAGAATTTTCAAAGCCATGGCATGCTGTTTCCAAGTGAGAAATGATAAACACAATACTCTAAAGAATAGGACTCTGCAGCCAGTAAGAGAGATGCCTGAGAAGACTAATTGCAAATTTGTATAAAATCAGAAGTCACATAAAGATCGAAAATTTTATATGGCTTTAAGCAGAAAACTGGGCAAGTTCATGAATGAGGAAGATCATAGAATGGTTTCAAATTCACAGAAACTACATCTAAGTCTGGAAGCCTTTGGGCTTTGAATGGCTGGAATCAGAATGAATGACTGGGAAACAAAATGCATGTCAGTCCTGTTCATACAGTCTTCCCTAAGCATTTTACTTTGGCCATTGTTGCAATGTCAATAGCTGGGCTAGACTGACCTTTGGACTTGACCAGAATGGTTCTTTTTATATTGTAAAATTCTCACAGTCTTCTGAGCAGTCTGAGGGACTTGAATAGGATAACTCACACACTGACATTTTCAGGGACAAAAATGTGTGTATTTTCCATAAAACAAATTAAAAAATGGTAGTGATGTGCAAATAAAAACAGAAAAAAACCAGATTTTGTTGTTAGGGGAGGTTCAGTAAGGAAGATGGCAATGAAGAAATACATTGAAGAATGTGAGGGAAAGATGATGAAAGAGCTTTTAGCTGGTCCACAGAAGTGGTCTGGTAATTAATGAAAATCACAGCAACCTCCTCAAGATGGTTCAAATGCCATACTTGTATCATTAATGACTACACTCTATCCTATTAAAAAGATAGATTTAGCCACACAGATAAAATGAGGAAAAGGATTTTAGAAGCACCTGATATAGAGGCCAATTAAGTACTGTTAATTTTTTTCCCAGAAATCAGAAAGCTGTACGCCATACTGCATAAAAATAATCCTAAAGACAGCAATCACATCTGTCTGCTTATGCATAACAAGCAACAGCAGGTACTGACCCAGTGCACTGATGGTACTGATAAGAGGAAAAAACACCCGTTGTACTGTCTGAGGCAGTATTAATGGCATTTTACTTAACAGCAGTGCTCTTCGATAGACTGAATGCTACTAATCTTTGTTTTTAAAATAAAGACTATTTACTTTTAAAAGGGGTGTTCTATGTTTTCACAGAGAATGACAAAACAAATTACTTATTTTCCATTACTTCATACAAACACTTTGATGTTTAAACTGCATGTGAACAGTT